CATTTTCAGGAAATGTGTGGTAAGGTTAAACGATTTTCACTCAGGCGTAACTTAGAATAGGTTGAAAAAAGTTCACGGTGCTTTTATTTTCTTATTAAGTATCAGTTTCATTGTACCTAATAGTCCGTGACTTTCGCTCGATATGGGCATTTTATAAATAGATATTGTGGTAGTAACAGAGGATCAGTGATCTTATAAAAGCGCCTTTGTTCCTTTTAACAATTTATATGAATAGGGAGGGAGATCAAGGGCGGGCCTCAGCTACTTGACGGGTCACAGGTGGCGGATAGTGATACATCCTATAGTATGTAGGATAGCTGCGAATAAGGGGAAACCTCCCCANTAATAATTATAATTTTTATGTTATCTCGTGTGTGGGTGTTGAACAAAGCGTTGAATTTAAATATTTTGTGCGGTTTTCGTAACAACTCATATTGCTCCAATTTAATTTTGAAAGACAACACAAACACGTTTAATTTCATGTGAGAGGTGTCACTAAAGATCTTTAAACTCTTCCTACTTAATATTCTTCTGATTTTTGTTGCAGGTACTAAAACAGACTTCAAGCTTCGCTGGTTGGTCTTCCTTCCATGCCAAGCTGTAGATCCTGCTAAGAATTGCAGTGGTGATAACGAAAGGTACGTGAATATATCTTATTTTGTAGGTAGCTAAGTATTAGTAAGAAGTCAACCTTCGGGTCAAACTGAGAATATCGTAGAAGGGGGTGCGTGACAGTTTATATAAGTTTATATGATATAAATTCATTTCAATAACGTTCATATTGTATAATAAACGTATGTTATAATAACACTTGATATAATTTTTTAACATATAATGTTTACTTCATATAATAAATCATTTCTTATAATGTCATTTCAGATACCAATCACAACGCATAAAGACATTTGATATAAACCTTACTTAATCTAAGACTCATTTGATGTAATTTTGTTTAATATAAATAATATTTCACATAACCATTACTTGTAATAAATATTATTTGTTATAACGACTATTTGGTATAGGTACTCTTTAATGATATAATTTCTGATAGATATAACTTTTAGTATGTTCTTCTTTAGCTTGACTTATAAATGACTTTAGTGACAAAAACGAATCGCCGTAAAACCGACTCCACGTAGTCTTGTCTGCCCTACCCCTAGAGTGTAATTTAGAAGCGCGTAGGCACGGAGGGGCGAGGCGGCCNTCCTAAGATACTAAATTAATACTTTTGTCTTTATGATAAATTAGAGCCTATTTTAAGTAGGGTAAGTGCGCTAGTTTTCGTCCAATTATCGGAGTTGCCAACTTTGTGATGCGAAATGAATATCTTAAAATACCCTTACTCATACGTATCATATGTCATTTTAGTCCTTATATAGTCTACTTTACGTTAATATTATATGACAATAAGTAAATACCACGGGTTTTTTTATAAAAAATATTTTAGGCAAAAGAGGCGATTTCACTACTTTTCGTCCAAAAAACTCAGTTTTCGTCCTAGAGTACGCTAGTTTTCGACCACTGTGTATAAAAAAGGTTTGCAGTTGAATTATTAATTTAAAACCAATTCTACAATACAGTAACTATGGATTGTGGTATATCATTTGAAAGGTAATTTTGTTAGCTTTCAAATGATATCAAAAAGATTTAAATAAGTTTCTTACCTAAATTTAGGAAAATATTGCAATAGATCGAAGGACAAATGGACGAAAAGTAATCTACAGGAATAGCTAATTTTGGTTTTCGTCCACCCCAGTGCTTGCTCATGACGTCATGGACGAAAACACAACAACGTTTAAAGCTCTTTTTTGTTTTCGTCCACATCTTTTTAACGGTTTTTATGGGTTTATCACTGTCAAAAAGTGGACGTAAACTAAAATGTTTAATGTAATAGCAATAAAGATCATATTGGAAGAAAAAACATTGTATTTTGTAGGTCTATTGAAGTAAAATGATTATTAAAAATATTAACTAGGTGTCAGGGTTTCCGTCCACGTGGACGAAAACCAAAATCTTGCAAAATTGTTATGCTAGTATTAGTCCACTTAATTATCTAAGATTTCTATACAAAAACTTTAATAATCCCTTAAAATAGTGTTTATCATGCTAGTAATTAGACATACGTGCCAAAAACGTTACGTAAAGTAGCTAAAACAGTAATTAAAAATACCATGAAAGTTCCCTACCGGCACGTTTTTTTTCTAACTTGACGACGTTTTCCATTCACCTGTGTGCAGGAGCAACTTCCGTAGATTTTTTTGGAGTTATTACTTGTCAAATTACATTTTCATGCAGGCAGAACTGTTACTTAGATATTATAGATTGTCACAAGTCCAAACTTGCACGGAAAGTTAGGTTTGTATTCTAATTTACCGTATTTGTTTGTGGCAAGTCNTTCTTCTTGGAATAAAATTGAAAGTAAAGGATGATGGGCACAAATGTATGGAAAGTGGTACCCGCTCCAATAGCCATAACCAATATATATTTCAAAAGTTCTAATTCACGTTTTGAAAGCAGTAATACCACTAAGTATTATAATGAAAGTATCACACAATCATCCATGTATACGAGTATGTACTATGACGACAATCTATTAATATAACTAAAAGAAGCCTTGAAAAGGAAAGGATTATACCTACGATGAACTACCCAAGCTATTAGCCCTTTATTCGCTTTCATCATCATCATCATGATCATTTTAGCCATAAGACGTCCAGTTGAACATAGGCCTCCCCCAATGATTTCCACAATGGCCGGTTGGTGACGGCCTGCATACAGCGCCTTCCCGCTATTCTCAAATAAATATGTATGAACTTAAGAATAAGTCTTATAAATCTATGGTTAATTAATAATTATAGATTTTTTTATAATTATACCTAGGTGACATGCAACGTTTACCACTGTGCGGTGGGACTATGGTTAAAATAAATTACCCGTAGACCCACTGGCAAAAACTGTTCAGAACGGTGGGACAACGGGTAAAAAAATTACCCGTGGACCCACCAGGGGGACATGTTGGGGGGACCACGGGTAAACGCCGCGCACATTACACCGATTTGGTATCGGCCGATTCTTCATACAAATTAAAGTCAGGCCCAACTATGGGACAGCTAAAATTCGGTGATCTGCGCCTAGGTTAAGATAGTATCACATCTATGACTAAGGTAGACTCTTTCTGTGGGCGACAGTTGGCCCTGAAACAACTTGCTCATTGTTCGTAAATGACACATAAACAAAATATGTGGAGTCCGGCTGTGGACCTGTGGTCCAATTGCAGGGTGTTGGTGACGTATCAGATTCGAATCATTCGTCACAAACCGCAAAAAGTGCCACAGGGCTCCTTTGTCTTACAATTATGATACACTAGTTTTCCGCCCGAAATTTGTCTGTCACAGAAAAGCTTTATCGCGTGCGTCCCTGTTTCAAAAACCGGGATAAAAACTATCTTATGTCCTTTCCCGGGACTCAAACTATCTCTATATCAAATTTCATCAAAATCAGTTTAAGCGTGAAAGTGAGACAGACAGACAGACAGAGTTTTAGTACTTGCTTATTTATTTTTATTTTGGACATTCTATGGTTTTACAAAACAAAATCGAATATTACTTGTGTAAAAAAATACATTCCTTATTTTTTACACACTACATAATTTTTATTTCGTTAGAATTTAACCAGAAAAAATACATACAACGTTTCAGTCATCCACCTGTATGGTGTGTTACCTCATTATTTTGTTATCACATTACTTGTTACTTCTTTTCTAAATATTAACCCCCTTACTAATAAAACTTACACGCTCGTTGAACAGTGTTTTAAAGTGACGTTTAGTATGGAAATGCCATTTTAAAACAGTGTTCAACAACTGTATAACTTTTTATTGGTAAGGGTATAATAAAATAAAATAATTATGTAAGTCGCAGTTAGCAGCCAGTCTTCTACGAATATAAAGTTAAACATTTTTATACAGAGTATTTATTTTATGATGATCATCCATCTTCGGAACTTTATGGAAACCACAATGAATTATGAATTATTATGTAACAATAAGTAATTCCCCTTTGCCGTTTATACACCAAATTATTAGGTTTTCCACATTAATTAAGGCTAAAACAAAATATTCGAAAAACATAGTAATGTTGGTAATATTGAAATTTCTTAACTTACTTAATTTTTTTTCTATGTAGTAAAATTTCGTTTGTTTCAGCCGAAAGACGTCCACTGCTGGACAAAGGCCTCCCCCAAGGATTTCCACGAAGACCGATCCTGCGCCGCTCGCATCCAGGCACCTCCCGCAACCTTCACCAGATCGTCGGTCCACCTAGTGGGAGACCTACTAAAAGGCCTAGTAAAATTTAAATGCACTTATTGCAATTAAGTTAGGTACAATAACCCGTACTGTGTTTACCTTGATGTCCCGTCTACCTAAAATAAAAGTTTGTAGCGATGACACATAGGTAAATGGCGTTGCTGTGCTTTAAGTAGGTACTCGTATGTTGTTACTTTAGTTTTTCTTTTCAGGGTTCCTTCGGTACCATGAACATTGTTTAAAGCCCTTAAAATGTCATTGATAACTTTTTAATTTTTATTTCATCAGTTGAAAAATTTTTGGACCCAAAGTTTTTTCTAGTGGATTTGAAAAATATTGATAAATCCTAGCATAATAAATTTAGCATTTTAGACTTGACAGTGGTTATTACAACAACTTTAGGTATTAAGCTTGAGTTTGAGCACCCGTTCAAATAGCACCTGCACGAATAGCAGTTGGCCTAGTCCACTTAGAGCACCTATCGATTTTTTGAGCAGGTGCTCTAAGTTGATGTGCCGTCGTTGTACCTTTACTAGCAAAAAAATGCTGTCTAAATCTGGATTTCCAAGTTTTAATTGATATAATCACTTTTTAATTGATTGTATACTGTTACTGCATCCAGTACATCAGTTTACCACAAATTGACTTTTGAATTGACCTGTTTAAAACCCATCGGGGAAATTGATCATTGTACCTTCTGCAGTACATTCCCAACTCGCGCTTGGCTATTCGCTACTCACTATGAGTCAGAGAACAATATAAAAACAGTCGTCAGTCCAAACGCCGACATATTATTTATCCTTCGGAGTGATTAAAAGGCTGATGAGCAAAAACCCGCATTTTTTGCGGGGAAACCAACCGTCTGTAGTGCAGTTCGTTTGACAGTGCTGTGGTTATCGATCGTGTTTAATTAAACAAAATGGAGCTGGAGATATTGTGTTTTGTGTTTGTGAGTACCTATTTTTGTACTATTTATAATTTGAAATTGAAGCTCGCTTCTACCTTTCGGATTGATAGTCCCTTTTCATCAAGTGAGTTTCAGTGGTTTCAGGACAAGTGCTTCCTCGTTGTATAAAAAAGTGTGAATTTTTCTATTCTAGTGTCTAGTGTCGAATATTCATTCGAATGAAGAAAAATTCAAACTTCAAAATTCAAGTTAGTGTTTGTGTAGACTAAAGTGTACCAATAACAGAAACTAGATTCACCAATATTTCTATGGACATTTTGCAATAAGCTTATTTACTAAGCTACTTACTATAGTAATAAAATTTGTGATATGTGAAGGAAGGAAGCTGTAGTTCCATAAAAAGTAAAATAAAGTACCTACACCTAAAAATTCTTGAAGTAAATCTTGTAGATCGTGTGGGTTTGTGAGTGACAACCTTGTCAGGCGTTGTGAGGTCACAAAGACGCTTGACATGGGTTATACAAAAGCTTAATTTAATCAAGTATAGTACGAAATACATTTATATTTATTAAATTTATATAAAACTAGCGGCCGCCCGCGATTTCGTACGCGTGGACCCCGTTTTACCCCCTTAAGGGTTGAATTTTGCAAAATCCCGTCTTAGTGAGCACCTACGTTCTGAAAGGAACCCCCATGCAAAATTTGAGACTCCTAGCACTTGTAGTTTCTGAGATTTCGTGATATAAGTGAGTCAGTCAATCAGTGACCTTTCGCTTTTATAGATATATATAAATAGTTCTGGATTAAGATCAGATATTCTTATTTTCAGGAAATGCGTGGTAAGGTTAAACGATTTTCACTCAGGCGTAACTTAGAATAGGTTGAAAAAAGTTCACGGTACTTTTATTTTCTTATTAACTATCAGTTTCATTGTATCTAATAGTCCGTGACTTTCGCTCGATATGGGTATTTTTTAATGGACATTGTGGTAGTAACAGAGGATCAGTGATCTTATAAAAGCGCCTTTGTTCCTTTTAACAATTTATATGAATAGGGAGGAAATGTAGGTAGAGTCCACTCCAGTAGCAATTGAAAACTTATCTATAAACTAAAGCTGAATAACATTGACATAAAATCAAACTTCAGAGTTTGATCAAAGATCTTTCATCGTACTGTAACTAAATAATTTTCTCTGTTGGCGGGAACTATACTAGGCAGTCAAAAATAGTTCTATCCCTTTCACGTTATCCAGTTTCAATCTATATTTTATATCGGTTTTATTTTGTTTCCAGATTGTATCCCTAAGCCTGTCTGCACCAACCTACGACGAAAGCGGAGAAGACTACTACGATTCACACGAAGACTACAACTCAAAAGAATACGACCAGCGGACACCAGCAAGAGTCGTCGTCAAACAAGAAGTTTCTACAAGACCTCCGTCAAACTACGAAGTCACAGAAAACGTTGTAGACATACCCAGCCCAAAGCCACCAGCCAATTTCATCATCGCTAACTTCACAAACAGAACCCCTTTGAACATTGTGCCAGCAATTGCAAGGAATAACAGCGTCCAAAATGTCAATAATGTAACGCCGAATGCTAGAAATGATCCAATAAATAACTATAACTATTTTGATTTTGATAAAAAACACATCGACTCTTCCGAAGAGTTTGACGACGACGATGATGATGATGAAGATTACACTCATGATCATGAAGAATTTCACGAAGGGCATAAGTTTTTTCCCATTCTTAGAGCGTATCTTTATGGGCTAAAAAAGGGGATCGTGAATGGTCTACATTCCCTGGTAGGGAAAGGTAACAAAAGTGTCAATGAACCTTATAATACGAATCCGGTTTTGTTTGAGAAGCTACGTAAGAAGAATGGGGCAAAAAACAGTAAATATTTTGGACATGAATTTGATGATTGTTAAAATAATTTAGATAGATCAGTAATACCGCCATTGTATTAATTAGCATAAATTAGATGAACCAGCTCGTAAGAAATCATCCAGTTGTCGACAAGATGATTTTAAAAGCATATAAGCAACTCGAGATGAAAGTGAAATAGACTGGAAATCTAAAAGTTAAGGCTCACAAGTATTCAAGCTTTAATACAGTTTATTATAATACATAGAACAAAATAATATGACTTATGAAGTGCGCGAATCCAAAACTAATCCCAACTANAACAATATTTCGGAAAATGCAATTAAATATCGGAACCGATCTCGATGAACAAAAAGTCTCATTAGATTTTTGTAAATCAAAAACTATGATAGAAAAACGAATGCATAAAAAAAACAAACACCATCCCATAGTTAGGTTTACTTTTAAAACTATACCATTTACAAGCTTAACATATAATTTAGAATTTCACGGACAGTATAGGTACTCCTACGAGTCAATTAATTTATGTAGGTATAAAAATATCGTATCACCAGTGATTGCAACGAAACCAGTTTATTTATAGGAAATTTGAAACAGTATTCAACTTGTTTTTATTTAAACGAATATTTTAAGTACTAATTTATTAAGATAATTTAAGTAGTCGTTAATGACAGTGATTTGTTTCTTCCAATTGATTAAACTCCTAGTTTAATGCGCCCATAAATACCGGAGTGGAGAATAAAGATGTACTTTCTTAAAATCTGTTTTATTTAAAGCTCTCCACATAGAAATACAGATTAGTAAATTACAAGTTAGGTAAGCAACGTTACCTAGACTAGGGCCAAAATAGTTAATCCAGGGATGAACACTCGTTTAAAATTATATTTCATACTAAATGACAATTTAAACTACATTCCAATTAGGCTGAGTTGCATCACCTAACTTTAACCGTAACTATAGGTACGATAACCGGTGCCTTTTGTATGGAGTTTGACAGATTTTTGACGTTTGTTAAAGTTAAAGTAAGATGGTGCAACTCAGCCTTAGTAATCAACCTTACCTACATATGACCTCTAAGGAGTTGATCTGTGGACCAACCACAATATTCAGGTTTTGTTAGTAAATTGTGTACTTATAAAGCAAGTAGGTAATAAGGAAATTAACAATGAATAGAATAGAAAAACTTAAATAATCGTATAATTAAAGAAAAACAGATCATCACCAGATAGCACCAGGGGCGATAATCACCCCCCCCCCCCCTAGTACCCCCTAAGGCACCCCCTGGTACCCCCCAGGATTTTGTTACCTACCGATTCGAAGATTGAAATTGAAAGACATACACCGCTGATTTGCCATGCAGATGCGCCTGTGAGTACTAATCTGCGCGACTTGTGTCACCCCCTGATGCTTGGCACCACAACGCCTCGCCTCGTGACAGAGCGCGCGAAAGACGATGAGGATACTGTATACGGTGTTGATCCCTTTCCGAGTTGATAAGTCTGCTATGACCTTAAAGATGTGATATTCAAGTGGAAAACACGGGCTTGGTCAAGCACTCATGATTGACCTTGGGGTTTATGGTCACCTTATCCTTGTTTTAAATAAATTAGTCATAAAGGTATTTTTGTGACATTTCTTTGTTACTTTTTGTCATAACAGAAAAACTGCTGACTCATATCTGGATAGGTGAAGTAAAATGTTTTACTACATTTTAAACCCGTTCTTTTGATTAACTAGCTGACTCGGTGAACTTCACACCGCCTATGTGCCTCAGATTATAATGTAGGATTCTAGTGCTGAAAGCATTTTTCAAATCGTTAAGAGTAATTAATATTGGAGCCTGTTCAAGTCTTGATCAAATCTTTCCTCTTTAGCTGTGTGGTGGTAGGAACTAGGATAGTACCACCTCCATTCTTCTTCTGTATGGCGCAAGAGGTGACAAAGGGAGAAATATGTGACAATCAGGCCTCCCCAATTCGTTCACATTCATTGCATTCGCCCATTTTTCCTCCTTAATTCTATTTCCTCCAAATATTCGTCTCCTACATTGCTTTAAATCGTATTTTCCTTCTGAGAAAAACATTGCTCTTACAAAAATTAAGGCAAGTTGTATTCAAAACAAACTTTATTTTGTAGTTAAATAACAGTTTTTACCTTAATCACTGCAAATATAAATGAGTCATCATCTGAGATTATAGAAAGGGATTCCCTTCTATGATCTGAGGTCATCATCATCAGCACAAGAAGCCAACTGCTAATGTAAACCCTTCCAAAGAATGCCACAAAGCACAATATCTTTTTTTCGAACCAAATACCAATATAGAAATTATGAAATCTGACACTAGGAGGTCTGTTAGGATCGTGACTTTATAAGAGCAGAAAAAGACTGTATAAAGATAAACATCAAATTATTTGGTAGCAAAAAACATCGTAGTTAAGATCTTTGATTGATCTTGAAATGAGAAAAAAGTTGCAAATGTTCTAAAACGGACAAGTTTGGACAAAAGTGGCATATTTTACCTGTATGCAAATGCTTTGCGTGCCGATGAACTTGTGAGTATCCTGATTTAGTATTCATAAGTGATGTTTACACCTCCTCAGGTTTTGGTTAAAAACAGTTAATTAAAAACAAGATTGTAAAATAAAACACGTACGAATATAAAGGGGTAAGGGCAGCACTGAAGCACAAACCTTAGTGGTTTCCTGAATGCTATCAAAACAAATAAATTTGGTAAATAATAGAAAAAAAGTGAAAGTTTTTTACTTAATTTTTCATTTTGTTCTTTTTATTAAAAAATATTTAGTAGATTAAAGTTGTTTGACAATAGATTTTCGACTTGGACATTGAGTTTTTTGTCAACGTGAATAGACTAGCAGATTTCAGAGAAAATGTTAGCAGTTGGTATGCAATTGTGTCCATATTATCAATTTTACATAAGTTACTTAAGCACTTAAGGAAGCAACTGCTCAAAAATAGAATCTGCTGGTAAAATATAAATTTTCATAGAAATCAATGTTTGGTAAAATTCTTTCACTGAGAAACCGAAATCCTCGAACCACCATGCATGTAGCTATAGTCAATATTTTAATAGTTAGATCCCTTTCAAGATACCTATTGTTACATTCCACCCCTTATTTACAGGGTTTAAAAAAAATACGCCTAAGTATATTACTTTCCTAAACTTCATTAATAGCAATAGGTACCTCTTTATTTCGTGCTCCAATATTCACATAAACAGTGCAAGCAAAGGCATCGTCACTAATATCCATAACAGATACCATAATTAAAATAGCTTTGTCTGTCTGTTAGTTTACTTTTTTAATGCCTGAATTAATGTTGACGAATTTGGAAAATTTTCATAACCTCCTCTCCGTTGGGCCTTTTTTTAACCCAGGACAATGGCCTATCCGTACCTACCACCGGGGGACGGCAGGTTATTTGGGAATTATCATCATCATCATCATCTCAGCCATAGGACGTCCACTGCTGAACATAGGCCTCCCCCAATGTCCATGTTACCCGGTTAGTAGCTGCCTGCGTACAGCGCCGTCCTTTATAATGTCGTCGGTCCACTTTATAGTTGGACGTCCCACATTGCGTTTTCCGGTACGCGGCCTCCACTCCAGAACCTTGCTGCCCCATCGGCCGTCAGTTCTGCCTCTACCCTGCCCATTGCCACTTCAGCTTGCTAATCCGTCGGGCTCTGTCAGCGACTTTAGTTCGTTTACGGATCTCCTCATCTCTGATTGGATCTCGTAGGTAAAGAAACACCGAATATGTGGGGCTTGAACCCTTTTAAAACCTGGGGTGTTCCCTCTGCCGCATAGTGGTCGGCACCTTAAGTACTAAAACGACCAAGACAACTAGAAACGACCAAGGCGATGGAAACTGGGCCTAAGTCCACGCGAGCAAAGCCCCAGTCCCAAACTAGTGTATAATTTTGAAAGGAAAACAAACGCTAAGGCTCTAAACAGGTCCAAGGAGGCGGGGTCAGCGACCGGGAGGCTGCGCAGTCGGAAGCGGCGCGCGCGCAGAGCACACGCGCGGATCGCGGCACAGATTGTTTCGTGACTTTTGTGACGTCAGTGACAAGTTTGTAAGTAACCTTTTTATTATTACTTTTATTGTACATTTTTTAAAAGTAAAGCTGGGTTGCACCTTTTTACTTTAAATTCAACATACGTCAAAAATCTGAAACTCCATCCAAAAAGCACCGGTTATCATTGTAGTTACGGTTAAAGTTAGGTGGTGCAACTCAGCCTAAGTAAACTTTTTATTATAATCGACAGTTTTTTTTTACTTCATGCTATGTGCTTAAAATAAAGAAATAATTATGGAGCAGAATTCATTTTAAGAAGTTAAAGTAGTTCAAGCAGACCTTACTAAGCTCTAATAAAATTGTTTTTTAAATGGTGTTATTTGTTCAAAACAATTTAAGTTTGAAGGTTTTTATGTAGGTAATTATACTTATTGTATTAGGATTAAATTGATTTAATATTTTTCAATAAACTTAATAATGTCTTGGTCAAAATTTTTTTGATCTATTTGCAGTTTCCAAAATCTGTTTTTAATTGGTCTGTGTTATTGTAGATACAAATAAATCACAAATAACAAAAATTAAAGTCTTATTTTAAGAATTAATATAACTACACTTAAGCCTATTAGTTACCTTAATATTTCGAGTATTAACTCGTTAGAACGCCTAGTTAATTTATCTAAAACCTTAATAGGCCTACACTAATAACTTTACGAATATAGGTAACTTTATCTACAGTTTTGTATAATATTTTAATTTATATTTAGGTATTAATAAAGTCTGGCCGTGTGGTGACGGCAGAGTAGAATACATTTGTCATCAACCCTACTCTTCCCGCGGGTGTCGTAAGAGGCGACTTAGGGACTACACATCAAACAGAGAACGGGCAGCAGCGCTCTCTGAAAAACATCAATCTTTTAAACTGCGATCTCCAACCCGCCTGCCAAGCGTGGAGATTATGGCAAAACCCTCCACTTAAGTGGAGGAGGCTCATAGTCCAGCAGTGGACTGTAAAGGGCTGTTGATGATGATGATTAATAAAGTTATACGCCTACACTCGGTCGGCTGCGAATTTGTGAGCAAGACCTTTGTTAATAAGGGTCAACCTTTAGGGTCAGTGTCCTTTAAGCGATCATGAAAAAAATAACATTATAGAAATATGTTTTAATTAATGCTGTATCCATTATCTGGTGCCCATATTGTACCTACCCAAGCTTTTACTTAGTTTGGGACTAGATGTCACCACACACTGTCATTGAATTACTGTCTAGGAAGTGATCACTTCCAGACAACCAAGGTAGGTTTAAATAAATATGTGTGGTTTATTAAACTAAGTAAATAAATTCACCCACTCTTTCGTTTCGTTCATTCGTCCACCCACAAGGTGGACCGACGACATCATAATGGTAGCAGGGAAGCGCTGGACGCAGGCCGCTACCAGTCGATCAACATGGAAAGCATTGGGGGAGGCCTATGTTCAGCAGTGGACGTCCTATGGCTGAAATGATAATGATGATGAAATAATTATTATTTACCTTTCAATAAAAAGGTCGATCAACCCAAACAAAAACAACAGATAACGAAATATGTATTCCAATATCCATCCAATCGGGCGCATCATAAATCGAAATCGAATGGAAATTAAATTCCAAACGCCAACGAATAAGCAATTTCCGAAAAATACTTCGCATCGAGAACACTTTTAATCGTATGTCAACGAGCGTTTATTCGATACTTTATATCGAGACTGGATTTGAGGTTGTTATGCGAGAGATTTTTACGGTTTTGTTTTGGGATGATCGAATAAGATAAGATTTGCGAGGTCGATCACCTCGAGACTTTTGTTTGAAAAGATGTACACCGTCGATTGTTTTTATTTTTACTGATTTCTGAAATATGTAGAATACATTATTGTGTGGTATGAATTCTTCTTGATACTGGTATAATAAAAATCCTTAGTTTAATCTTAAAGCCTAAATCTTAATGTTGGGTTGTAATGTAATAATGTAAACCATCTTGGAAGTCAAAATTTTTATTCCTTAAGTAAAAAAGGTTTTTTCTTGCATTCAATTACACTTATATACGAGTACTCGTAGTTTCTTGTATTCCTCGTACATTCCGATGATCGTTGTTTTATATTTTACTAAGACTGGGTTGCACATCTTACTTTAACTTTGACAAACGTCAAAAATCTGTCAAACTCCATACAAAATGTACCAGTTATCGTTAAAGTTAGGTGGTGCAACTCACCCTAAGTATACCTAATCTGTGATTCAGTCTCATAATCCTTTTGAAATTGGTTCTCAAAAAAATTAATGAATGTTAATTCTTTGAGCCACTCTTGGAGGCTTTTCAATTTACCATGGCTTAGTTATTCGCATGTCGTCTGACATACATTTGAAGTGATTTGACATGAATAACGCGTATCACTTAGCATGTTTACATAACTGCAGTGCTGCACGCATGTTCACTTGACGTGTGGCGTAGTGGTTTGCGAGCCGGACTACCGGTTGCGGGTTCGAGTCTCGATATGACAAAAAATCTTATCCCCGTCAAGTTGCACCATCTTAAATCTAATAATCTATAAAATATACTAGCGGCCGCTCGCGACTTCGTAGACTCCGTTTTACCCCCTTAGGGGTTGAATTTTGCAAAATCCCGTCTTAGTGAACACCTACGTTCTAAAAAGAGCCCCCATGCAAAATTTGAGACTCCTAGCACTTGTGGTTTCTGAGATTTCGTCACGAGTAAGTCAGTGACCAATAAAAGCAAAATATTATCACTCTCTGATTTATTATTATCCATAAAGCGTATTTTATGAAACGGCGGAGTTTCATAAAATTAGGGGTTAAAACGGGGTCCACGCGTAAGAAGTCGCGGGCGACTGTTAGTTAACTATAATAAACGTCAAAAGTCAGTCAAACTCCATAAAAAAATCACCGGTTATGGTCCATAGCTTTTTTAAATGGTATAGTATACATAGTACTTTTCTAAATAAGTACATTTTCTTGCATGAAAACGATAAAGCTACGACTAATAAAATTGTCTTCAATGCTAATGAGTTAACGAACTTTCTTAATTGAGCGCGTGACTACTTTACAGGGCTTTTACGATGTCTCAAATGTTCCATTTCTCCCTTTAACAACTTTAAAGAATGGATGAAGAAAGATTTTCATAAAGCCTTTCTTAGGTACTACCTAGGTAGATAGATAAATATAAATATGTACAGTGTACACCTCACAAAACAAGAAAAGAATAATTAGAAAAATAGTCTTAGAAACCCCTAAGCCATTTTAAAAGACCTATCCAACGATATCCCACACGATGGGGTAGAAGATAAAAAAAAAATCATCCCCACTTCACATGTAGGGAATCTACCCAAAAAAATAAATAATTTACCGTTTTGTCGGCGTAATTAATATACATTACTCCACAAAATTACAGCACTCTAGTGCCAATAGTTTCCAAGAAAAACCTCAGACAGCCAGACATATCGAAACTACGAGTAAGGGTTCCTTGTCAGGACTAGGGAACCACACGGAACCCTAAAAAGAGACAAATACGGCACAATTTAGGCGGACTTATCGCTATAAATCGATCTCATCCAGACAATCAATTAAAAGCACCTTAATGAAAAAGGTCTTGTATAAAGTCGATTCTTATAAATAAAAGACTAATGTTTGGAATGTTTATTACCCTAGTATATTTTACCCTTGAAAAAGAGGCTGACAAATAGTGACTGAGTTTCTTGCGCTGCTTCTTCTCAGCACTGGCCCATTTATTGTCCTGAAGCAGTGGTAGGGTTAATACTGGGACGTGTAAAAGTGCTTTTTAAAAGCCTACTTGCAAAAATAGAATTAGTTTTGTGAGCTTTTAGTTTTTAACCTAGAGGACAGTCTGTTGTTTTGAATAGATAAAACCGGCCAAGTGCGTGTCGGACTCACGCACAAAGGGTTCCGTACCATTGATTTATGATTTTTTTTTTTAATTTAAGTTATTTGTATGAAAGATTACGCGGTAATAAGCGGTTTAGGATTTACGAGGTATTAAAAAAAACTACTTACTAGATCTCGTTCAAAACTATTTTTGTTGGTAGTTTTTATAGTAATGTACATCATATTTTATGTTTTTTTTAGATTTTTCATTTTCTTATTTTAGAAGTTAGAGGGGGGGACCAACTTTTTTCCACTTTGGAAGCGTCTGTCACGCAAACTATTCGGTTTAGAAAAAAAGTATTTTAGAAACCTCGATATCATTTTTGAAGACCTATCCATAGTTACCCCACACGTATGTTTGACGAAAAAAAAATTTTGAGTTTCAGTTCTAAGTATGGGGATGGGGAGCCCCCAATATTTATTATTATTTTTTATTTTTGCATCAAAATCTTAATGCGGTTCACAGAATACATCTACTTACCAAGTTTCAAGAGTATAGCTCTTATAGTTTCGGAAAAAAATGGCTGTGACATACGGACGGACAGACGGACGGACGGACGGACGGACGGACAGACAGACAGACAGACATGACGAATCTATAAGGGTTCCGTTTTTTGCCATGTGGCTACGGAACCCTAAAAAGGGTCAACTATTAGACTCTCTCAGATCCTATTCAGAGCTTTCTTGGCACACCTATGTATAATACAGTACTCTATATTCATTGTTGCATTCCAAGACTAAACTAATCCGATATTCTCTAAACGGCAATTCCATCCATTTGTATCGCCTAAAGCCCATTATTTCCCTACAGCCAGTAGCTATAACAGTACTAAGTTGTCCCGGGCTCTGAAGCCGACCTGGATCTGGTCCGAGCACGCACAACGGAGGGCGGGCCGGTCCGACCGTTATGCACTAGAATCCTAACAACTTTGGCTTGAAACAATTGTAGGTTCAATTGGCTGCGCCTACGCATCTGGTTTATATAGGCCTATTGCTGGTAATTTTGAAAGACAGTCGTAAATCTTTGTACGATAATATTCTATGTATTTACAAAAAAAAAGTATTTAAGTACCTATGTATAAATCCGTTGTCTAGTACCCATAGTACAAGCATTGTTTAGTTTGGGACTAGAAGGGTAGTGTAAAATGTCCAAGGATATTTATTATCTATACTTTTATTAAATCTGTAGAGAGGTCAATTCTGTACATGAAATATATTTTCAAAATAACTATCAGGGGGTGATTAGTGATCGATACTAATGCCAAAAATGCAATCAGTAAAATTTTTGTCTGTCTGTCTGTCTGTCTGTCTGTATGTTCCTTATAGAAACAAAAACTACTCGACGGATTTTAACGAAACTTAGNGATCGATCAACCCAAACAAAAACAACAGATAACGAAATATGTATTCCAATATCCATCCAATCGGGCGCATCATAAATCGAAATCGAATGGAAATTAAATTCCAAACGCCAACGAATAAGCAATTTCCGAAAAATACTTCGCATCGAGAACACTTTTAATCGTATGTCAACGAGCGTTTATTCGATACTTTATATCGATACTGGATTTGAGGTTGTTATGCGAGAGATTTTTACGGTTTTGTTTTGGGATGATCGGCTAAGATTTGCGAGGTCGATCACCTCGAGACTTTTGTTTGAAAAGATGTACATTGTACACCGTCGATTGTTTTGATTTTTACTGATTTCTGAAATAAATACATTTGTATGGTATGAATTCTTCTTGATACTGGTATAATAAAAATCCTTAGTTTAATCTTAAAGCCTAAGTCTTAATGTAATAATGGGTTGTAATGTAATGTTGTAAACCACCTAACTATGAAGTCAAAATTTTTATTCCTTAGTAAGTCAAAAAGGTTTTTTTCTTGCATTCAATTACACTTTAATAATTGAGTGCTAGTAGTTTCTTGTATTCTTCGTACACTCTGATGACCGTTGTTTTATATTTTACTAAGGCTGGGTTGCACCATCTTACTTTAACTTTGACAAACGTCAAAAATCTGTCAAACTCCATACAAAATGCACCAGTGGGTCACACAGTCAGTCACAAAGTGCAAATTATAATCGCAAAGCAGTTGAAAAGTGGTCGAAAAGCCCCTTTTTTGTATGGAGTTTTGACGGATTCGATTTTCGATTCGATCAAAAAGTGCGTTTTGTCTAGGGGTGCAGTTATCGTCATAGTTACCGTTAAAGTTAGGTGGTGCAACTCACCCTAAGTATACCCAATCTGTGATTCAGTCTCATAATCCTTTTGAAATTGGTTCTCAAAAAAATTTATGAATGTTAATTCTTTGAGCCACTCTTGGAGGCTTTTCAATTTACCATGGCTTAGTTATTCGCATGTCGTCTGACATACATTTGAAGTGATTTGACATGAATAACGCGTATCGCTTAGCATGTTTACATAACTGCAGTGCTGCACGCGTGTTCACTTGACGTGTGGCGTAGTGGTTTCGAGCCAAACTACCGGTAGCGGGTTCGAGTCTCAATATGACAAAAATCTTTAATCCCGCCGAGTTGCACCACCTTAAAACCTACTAATATTAAAAAATACTAAAGTTTGTGTGGATGTATGGATGTTAATACTTGCTACTCTTTCATACAAAAACTGCTGAACGGATTGTAATGAAACTTTACAGTTTTATTGTTATCAGAATAAGATATAGGCTACACAATTTATACTGATCTATGACAAAATTTTACGTGGGCGAAGCTGTGGTCAAAAGCATTAAATAAACTAAACTACTAACCTAATACTAAACTCCATACAAAAACCCCGGTTATGGCCATAGTTATTACTGTACAGTAACAGTACATAGTATTTAACTAAATAAGTACATTTTCTTGCATGAAAACGATAAAGCTACGACTAATAAAATTGTCTTCAATGCTAATGAGTTAACTAACTTTCTTAATTGAGCGCGTGACTAAACTGTAGGCCCTTTTCAGGGTTTTTACGATGTCTCAAATGTCTCATCTCTCCCTTTAACAACTTTAAGAAAGATACTCAAAAAGCCTTTCTTAGGAACTACTTCACAAAAACAAGAAAAGAAAAAGAGACAAATACGGCACAATTTAGGCGGTCTTATCGCTATAAATTGATTTCATCCAGACAACCAATTAAAAAAGCACGTTAGTGAAAAAGGGGTAGTCATTTTTAATGTTAATCATCGACTTTATGATTATAATTATAAAAGATACTAATGTTTGGAATGTTTATCTGCCTAGCTCGTATCAATATTTATAACTATGTTATATATTGTAAACCCTTGAAAAAGAGGCTGACAATAGTGACTGAATTTCTTGCGCTGCTTCTTCTCAGCACTGCCCTATTTATTGTCCCGAAGCAGTGGTAGGGTTAATTACTGGGACGTGTAAAAGTGTTTTTAAAAAGCCTAGGTGCAAAAAAAAAATATGAGCTTTGAGTTTCTAACCTAGATTGATGTTTAGAATAGTTAAAAAGAGTCAACTATTAGACTCTTTCAGATCCTATGCAGAGCTTTTTTGGCACAATTATGCTATGTATAATACAGTACTCTATATTCATTGTTGCATTCCAAGACTAAACTAATCCGATACTCTCTAAACGGCAATTACATCCATTTGTATCGCCTAAAGCCCATTATTTCCCTACAGCCAGTAGCTATAACAGTACTAAGTTGTCCCGGGCACTGAATCCGACCTGGATCTGGTCCGAGCACGCACAACGGAGGGCGGGCCGGTCCGACCGTTATGCACTAGAATCCTAACAACTTGGGCTTGAAACAATTGTAGGTTCAATTGGCTGCGCCTACGCAGCTGGTATAGATAGGCCTACTGATAGTTATTTTGAAAGATGTCGTAAACATTTGCTCCTGCCATAATATACCTTCTATTATTGTTTTTGGTAAATAAACGTTTTGAGCTTCACCTAGTTTGTTGGTGCAGCGACGCACACAATTCTTTTTCTTTTATATCTTTTTCAAAGAATAAGCTGATGAGAAACAGAATTAGGAATTGTAGCATTCTTCTTTTTTCCAAATCAAATGTTTTATTTTTTCGATCTACTTATCTAATTGTCTGTACTTAATTAAGTAACTGAAATAAATCTTAGCTTAGTTTGTAATGCAGTAAATAAGTTTTTTTTTATCCACAACGAGGAAGCTCTTGGCCTGTATCTCACCTGATGGTAAGTGACGATCAGGCCGAAGGCAGAAGCGAGCTTCACCCGGAATCCTCAACCACGGAAGAACTGGCTATCTTACCTCTACTGCCGGAACACAACAATACTGTTAACATTGTTGTTATGACGACAGACTTAGGTAAGATGGTGGTAGCTAGCCAGGCGGACTTAAAACAAGGCCTACCACCAACCAAACCGACCAGAAAAATCTTTTCCTTGGGAGTCCACATTCTTACAGGAGTTGCAATAGTCAGCACAAGAGATGGGATTAGTCTCATTCGTCAAAAAAAGAAATTATCTGTCATATTTTATTATTTTGTTTCAGAAACACACACCATGATTCGACACATAACTTTAGTTGCAATAATATTGCAACTCACGGACTTGAGCCTCGTAAGTAACTTTTGTTATTCATCAATCTTTAAAACCCAATGATTAATAAAAAAATTACAAGTTTTATCGCTGTCCTAAATCTTAACTTAGTCTATTTTAAAGAGTACAAAACCTACAATTAATTATCATCTAGAGTAATGATTGGAGTCATTAAGGGCACGTTAATGAAGTGACGAAGTGAGTTGGAATATTTTTCGTGACGACTTTAAGTTATAATAATTATACACACGAGGATTAAAAATTGCTCAATATTATCGGAAAGGGTTAAATGTTGAGGATTTAACCCAGTTTAGACTAATGATGATGATGGATGAAAAACATCACAAAATACTCGCTCATATAAAGTACTTTCTGATGGTACCTCTAAGTATAGATATTGGTGTTCTAGTTATAAAGTAACTTGAAAAGAAAATGTATTCAAAGAAATGACCCAGTCCCAATGTCATTCACTGTCGCGACGAACGGATGAAAGTGTGAATAATTTTCAGAACATTTATTTTCATAGATGTGTAATATAATTATTATAAGTACCTAGTTGTAGCAGTAGGTTACTATTGGTAACTATTTAGTTAAATTTTTTCAATTAACTTTTTATTTAGAACAAATTGTTGTCGAATTAAAAATTGAAATTGATATACTGTTGTAGCTCAGCTATAATATCGAATAGTGCGATTTACCTGTGCATTTACACGTTTACTTCCAATTTTCTTCCACTTTATCTACTCATTGTCCCGAAGCAGTGGCAAAGTTAATAAGAAGTGATGATGGGACGAATAAAAGCGCTTCTTAAAAGCCTATTTGCAGAAAATAAATGACATTGACTTTACTTTGAACTACCTTCAGGTACACACAGCTCAACAGCAACTCCAACTCTCCGACTCGTACCTACCAGTGGCGATGCAAGTCATAGCCCACCTCACCGACCAGATGGCCTACGAAGTGTCCGACGACCCCGCGCCTACCACGCGGCCCATGAACAAACCCGCTAAGCCGACAGTAAGGCCGACAGTGAAGCCGACACCAAGGCCGACAGTGAAGCCGGTGACGAACAAACCGTACGTCTGGTCGTGGTCTCCTTCGAGCTTCCACAAGACTCCTAACGGGTGGAGGATGGTATACGGAGTGAGGTGATGGTTCAGCTTTGCTCTTTTCTATGCTACTGCCTTTAAAAGTTAACCCCTTTACTAATAAAAACTAACACGCTTGTTGAACACTTTTTTAAAATAACTTTTTCAGATTAAACGTCACTTTAAATAAGTGTTCAACGCGTGTAGCTTTATTAGTAAGGGTTAAATGTACTGCCAAATAAATAGGCAGTGTATCAAAACATGTGAGATGCTGTTTATCTCCCAGTCTTCACGCGTGTGGAATGTAAAGTAGATTGAAAATGATTAGAGAAATGCGTGGAGGGTAGATTCTATTCTGGACTATTATTTCTTGCAACTTTATTTTATTTTATCTTAATCTTTCCTAAAATAACTTTCTTTCTCTGTTAACTATACACTGTGAGTCACGTTAAAGTGTACATATGAAAATAGATGAAACTAGACCTATTTTTATCGACAAAAAAGAGGTCAAAATTTTTTTGAGATTTTTTTTTAATTTTTTATACAATTTTTTTTCTTCCAATTACTTATTGTAAAGAAAACGTAATAACTTTTAAACTAAGCGGTATATCCTGATAAAATAAAAATATTAATAATGCTAAATAACAGGCAATAATAAAAAAAATACATAAAATACATAAAAAAGGCCAACAAATAATAAAAAAATAAACTTTTTGAAAAAAATCTGCTTTTAAATTCGTGTTTTTTTGGTTATTTGATAAATTTCTCCAAAAAATGCCCCTATAACCGGTGGTTTTTATTACTTTGTATTATTCTCTATCGTATTACCTTCGTAAAACCAAAAATCGCATGTCTCTATCCCTATCACAACGTTTGCAATGATCGTTATGATTTAACCAACTTATCTCTTATTTACAAAGCTTGGAAGGGGTTTTGTTTAAAATGGTTTTTATTTTTAGGCTTTAAATATTAATCTAGTTCGTTGGACAGTTTCGGTACAAGTTGGACAGTTTCCTAACTAGCAAGATTAACTACTAAAAGCTACACTATGACAAGTCTAAACTTCCATTAATCATTTGTACTTAGGTAGATAGATATCTATTTTAAAGCCTCAACTGAATACACATCAAGAAAACAAGAAATAACAGAATATTCCCAACCAATTTCAGGTTAGATCAGACCACTCCCCACCACAAACCAGGTCTCTACTCCCCCAACGCCCCTCCAAAGGCCAACGAGCGTTCAGACTCCAAATTCGTTCTCCTTCCCATGGAAAACAACTCTGAATACACAGTCATCCAGCCAGAAGACCGAAAGACTGGAGAACCTCTCCTCTCCATCCACGAGGAAGAAGTTAAACCCCTCATGGAGCCAAGTCGAGTTGATGCCCCATTACTGCCGCCCCATTTCGAAGCCGACAAGATTTCTCGTTCTGATATCCTGGATATTGATGAAGAATTAGACGATGATAGCTTGCAGTACCTATCACATGATGTGAGAGAGATGATTAAGTTGGCTAATGACCCTGCTGATGAGAAGCTGGTGGATGTTTGGGAGGGCGTAAGGGCTGGGCCTCAGATGGCGCAAAAGATGAAGCTGTCCTCTTCGAATCTGAGGCTGCTGCTGCTGTATGACCTGCTGAGCAGGGAGGCGAAGAGGCAGCGTCTTTCGGATTATACTGTAAGTTGAAGATTCTTATTCATAGCCTTAAATTAAGGGGTAGCTTGTTCGAAACACCTTTTTAGAGCCCATATTGTGGCCCATACTTACTCGTGCGTACATAAAACGATGTGAATAGACGCCTTATCAGGTTTAGTACTTACTTAGGTAGTGTATTGTAAGTGGACAGCAAAATTTTCTTTTTCTGAAGCGAAGTATGGCAATCAAGCTATTTTGTACAAAACATCCCATAATGGACGCAGGCCGCTAACAACCGGGCAACATGGAAAGCATTGGGGGAGGCCTATGTTCAGCAGTGGACGTCCTATGGCTGAGGTGATGATCCCATAATACAATACTAATCTATGATGTTAACCATTGAAACAGAGGTCCAGCACTCGCTACAAAAATCCATTTCGAAGGTACATTTTCTAATATCCAAATTAATCAAATATGAAAGCTAAGAATACCAATGCCATTTTATGAAAATAGAAAACATTGCAAACTTGTTTATCTTCCTCAAGTATGTACCAATTTGGACTAATACTTATTTTCTCCGGACGTACTGAAACGGCTTTCGCTAATTATGGATTCTAAGTGGTATTGGCATGTACCACGGCAAGTGAGGCCAACAAAGGATCTGTGACTCATCAGTGAATTTCAATTAGACAAACGTAATTATGATTAAATATTATGTAAGACTAGATTTTGCACGCCACTCCGTCCGCGTTTCAATAAGAAATTAATTTATATAACCTTTGACATAAGGCTGAGTTGCACCGCCTAACTTTAACCGCAACTATAACGATTACCGATGTTTTTGTATGTAATTTGACAGTCTTTTGACGTTTGTCAAAGTTAAAGTAAGATAACTTTTTCAAAATCTGACTAAAACCGTGGTTGGCAAGCATTTATAATGGAAGAGCCAAATTAACCCTCAATTTACAATGTTTTTTCGTTAAATAAATTGCCTGTTCCATTTGAATCATAAGCTTAAGTTTTAATCATGTTACAATCATGATTGAACTAATGTAGCAAACAATCTTTAATCACCTGTCCTTCTCTAATTGCAAATCCCAGCGGTGTACCTACTTACCACATCTTACAGGCCCATCTTACAGTATTTAATGTATGCCTACCCTCCTTTAGTATTCCATTATCTGATCTATTAGGACTTGGGTTCATTTGTATCCCTCTCTGCATTATAGATAGATCAAGCACCTAGTGTTCAGATCAAGTTTAAACCTGTAGTACCTTGTGTAGTTGTATTACAGATCATTTTGCAATGAACATGACATAGCCTGATCTGCTGAAGACTATCGCCCGTATTCACAAACATTACTACGAGGTCTCACAGTACGCGTGGACGCACAGGGTGACACATGAACCAATCACAGAACTCTATTCAACGCTGTGCGTTCGATTTGCTGCTTCACTTAAGCAAGCATCGTTTGTGAATACGGGCGTAAGTGTGGACTCTAGTAGATGTACTTACAGGGTGTCATTGTTTTAGTGTAAAACCTCTTTGGAGGAGATTGTACGTGAGAGTGGTACTTCAATCAACCTGTATAAACACCTTAATTTGCGCCTTAAGTTGGGAGAGAGAGGGACTATAGCCGTAATGGGATTTTCTTTAAATCTACAGGGTGGAAACGATAACTGATCTCACTCTATTATTTCTAAACTATACAAGATATCAATAAACTAGTTACTGATCCTGAAAGTGTTTCATAAGCTCTATCAAACGGTATTAATAATAGGTAACAGAATAAACTGTATCTATCCGAAAATTCAATGTTTCCAGCTTCCATACATTTGGTAAAGTCACATTATTTTAAAAACTACACATGATATCGTAAAACTGATTACTAATTCTAAAAGTGCTTCACAAACTCTATCCAATGGTATCAATAATAGGTTACAGAATAAACTGGATCTATCCAAAAATTCAATGTTTCCTTCTTTCATACTATCATACATCCAAAAATTCAATGTTTCCTACTTCTACATTACGACGAGGATCATGTACGTGCTAATACTAGGAGACATTACATGGTATGTGATCCAGCGAAGGGCAGGACTAATTTATTCAGAAGGTCTTTTACTTATCAAGGAGGAAGGCAGTACAATAAGGCCAATATGTATTTGAATATTTATTCAAAAACGAAATTCCACTGTAAAAAAATTGTCCAAGATTGGCTACAGTCGTTGGATTATTTGGAGACGGAGAAATTAATTGCTAAATAAATGAATCATTCATACTCAACAAATACACTCGCACATAATAATTATACACTTACACACAATTTCACACTCACATTCAATATCACACTCACATACAATATCACACTAACACAATATCACACTCACACACAATATCACACTCACACTCATACACATACTATTATGTGAAATTTCTAATGGACATTTTTTTGAAATCTTTGTTTTGTTTTAGGCACGCATTATATCGCAGACTTGCTAATGTAGGTATACATATTTCTTTCTTTGTTACTTGGTAGGGATGAAGCCTGGTAGCCCAAGACACAGGCCTTTCCTAGTTTGGGTACCAGTCTCCCATATACAACATTATAGCATAACTATGTATAAATATACTTAAGTATTTATTAATGTTAGTATTAAGCTTGTTTTGTATGGGAGAAAATAAATAATTTATTATTATTATCGGGAAAATCCTTTTGTATGAAAAATCTAAACCGCTTAAGTTAGACGCTTAAAATTTGGCAAGCAGGTACCTTAATAAACTTAAAGCTTAGTTATAACAGGATATTGCAAAATTCCTACGGGAACGGGAATTAGCGAGAAAAAACATTTGTATGAAAAAATCTAAGCCACGTAAGATAGACGCTTGAAATTTGGCATGCAGGTACCTTAGTAAATTTAAAGCTTAGTTACAACAGGATATTGCAAAATTCTCTCGGGAACGGGAGTTAGCGGGAAAAAATATTTGTATGAAAAAATCTAAACCGCGTAAGTTAGACGCTTAAAATTTGGCATGCAGGTACCTTAGTAAACTTAAAGCTTAGTTACAACAGGATATTGCAAAATTCCCACGGGAACTGGAATTAGCGGGAAATTCCTTTTGTATGACTGACTCACTGACATACCCACGCACAGCCTAAACGGCTAAACGTAGGCACTTGAAAATTATAAGGGACGTAGCTTAGGTACCGTAGAGGTGCACTAAGAAAGGAATTTCCGAAATTCCCACAGGAACAGGAATTACCGGGAAAATCCTTTTGTATGAAAAATCTAAACCGCTTAAGTTAGACGCTTGAAATTTGGCATGCAGGTCCCTTAGTAAACTTAAAGCTTATTTACAACAGGATATTGCGAAATTCCAACGGGAACGGGAGTTAGTGGGAAAAAACATTTGTATGAAAAAATCTAAACCGCGTAAGATAGATGAAGGGGGTAAAACGGGGTCCACGCGTACGAAGTCGCGGGCGGCCGCTAGTTTAATATAATTTGCTCCTGCCATAATATACCTACTATTATTGTTTTTGGTAAATATAAACGTTTTGAACTTCACCTAGTTTGTTGGTGCAGCAACGCACACAATTTTTTTTCTTTTATATCTTTTTCAAAGAATAAGCTGATGAGAAACAGAATTAGGAATTGTAGCATTCTTCTTTTTTCCAAATCAAATGTTTTATTTTTTCGATCTACTTATCTAGTTGTCTGTACTTAATTAAGTAACTGAAATAAATCTTAGCTTAGTTTGTAATGCAGTAAATGAGTTTTTTTTATCCACAACGAGGAAGCTCTTGGCCTGTATCTCACCTGATGGTAAGTGACGATCAGGCCGAAGGTAGAAGCGAGCTTCACCCGGAATCCTCAACCACGGAGGAACTGGCTATCTTACCTCTAACTGCCGGAACACAACAATGCTGTTAACATTGTTGTAATGGCGACAGACTTAGGTAAGATGGTGGTAGCTAACCAGGCGGACTTAAAACAAGGCCTACCACCAACCAAACCGACCAGAAAAATCTTTTCCTTGGGAGTCCACATTCTTACAGGAGTTGCAATAGTCGGCACAAGAGATGGGATTAGTCTCATTCGTCAAAAAAAGAAATTATCTACATATTTTATTATTTTGTTTCAGAAACACACACCATGATTCGACACATAACTCTAGTTGCAATAATATTGCAACTCACGGACTTGAGCCTCGTAAGTAACTTGTATTATTCACCAGTCTTGAAAACCCTATGATTAATAGAAAATTTATAAGTTTTATCGCTGTCCCAAATCTTAATTTAGTCTATTTTAAAGAGTACAAAACCTACAATTAATTAACATCTAGAGTAATGATTGAAGTCATTAAGGGCACATTAGCGGTGTGACGAAGTGAGTTGGAATATTTTTCGTGACGACTTTAAGTTATAATTATTATACACACGAGGATTAAAAATTGCTCAATATTATCGTAAAGGGTTTAATGATGAGGATTTAACCTACTTTAGGCTAATGATGATGAAGTTGATGATGGATGAAAAACATCACAAATATACTTACAGACATATTAAGTTACTTTTTCGTTATTACCTATAGAGATAATAGTTTTTATGTAAGTTGAAAAGAAAATGTATTCAAAGAAATGACCCAGTCCCAATATCATTCACTGTCGCGACGAACGGATGAAAGTGTGAATAATTTTCAGAACATTCATTTTCATAGATTTATGTGTAATGTAAGTACCTAGTTGAAAATGCAGTAGGTAACTATGTAGTTCAATTTTGCCAATTAACTTTTTATTTAGAAGAAATTGTTGTCAAATTAAAAATTGAAATTGATATACTGTTGTATCTCAGCTATAATATCGAATAGTGCAATTTACACGTTTACTTCCAATTTTCTTCTTACTTTATCTACTTATTGTCCCGAAACAGTGGTAAAGTTAATAAGAAGTGATAATGGGACGTATAAAAGCGCTTCTTAAAAGCCTATTTGCAGAAAATAAATGACATTGCCTTTACTTTGAACTACCTTCAGGTACA